CCATGGAAGTTTTTTTTTTTTTCCTCTTTCTTGAAGGTCAGGATATTCCAAATCAGTGAATCACTTTTATATATCAAATGGAATGGATGGGGTGATAAGAGAGAAAATGATAGAGTAAGAAACCCACCAAATCTTCTCCATAAAAGCACAAGAACACTAGCAAAACACATCAGAATCTACCACCTTGTGCTATTTTACACGCCAGAATGCTCGCCCTACAGGACACCAACCTGAACTAGAAGAAAATTATTATTGTTGTTTTGTTTTGTTTTGCTTTTGAGACAGGGGTCTCATGATGCTGCCCAGGCTGGTTTTGAATTCTTGGACTCAAGCAATTCTCCTGTCCTAACTTTTTGGGTAGCTGGGACTACAGGCCTGTGCCACCATGCCCAGCTCAAAGTAGATAAATAAATAAAATTATTCTTAATTGTGTTTTCCAGTACCTGGGTCTCCAAAATCCAGATCTCTGGTTTCTCCAGAAACCAAACCTCTGTCTCCCATAGGGAGGTGGGAAGGGAAGTTGCTTAGCAGCAGGGGCCAAGGTGGGGTTAGGACCTGCAGTGAAACTGGTCAGCCAGATCTCCTGCCGCCAGCTCCCTACCACCTACAGGTGCCCAGTGCCTCAGATTCCTCAGCTTTTTCATCAGCAGGCTGGTGTTCCACAGAATCCAGGAAAAGCTCAGAAGACTTCACCAGAGAGCTGGACTCGGAGACACCAGCACTGTGAGTACAGGGGCCTTGCAACACAGCAAACTTCTGCACATGAATGGTGAGCTCCCAGGCTCCTTCCTCCACTTAGCACCCAGATCACTGGTGACTGGCTTATACCCCAGGGGAGACCCACAAGTCCTTCTGAAGCAACTGAAGTGTCCTAGAGACCTACAGGTACAGATGTCCATGGACCACCAAAGGAAAAGCCACATGGTCATCCCATCCATTCCCCTGAAACTCACCTGCCGATAATCCCCACCTGTATTTATTTCTTATGGCTGTTGTAACTAATGACTATCCATTTGATGGCTTAAAACCACAGCCTCAAAACCTATCATAGTTCTGGAGGATGATGTCTGCAGTCAGTTTCACTGGGCTAAAGTCAAGACATCAGCAGGGCCATGCTCACTCAGGAGACTCTGGAAGACTATCTCATGCCTCTTCCAACTTCTGTGGCTGCCAACATTTCTTGGCTTGTAGCTACACCATGGCAATCTCTGATTCTATATTTGTACTGCCTGCTGTGCACTCTCGTGTGTGACATCTCCCCATCTCTCTTAAAAAGACCCTTGTGATTGCATTTAGACCCCACCCAGATAATCCAGGATAATCTCTCCATCTCAGAATCTTTAACTGAATGGCATCTGCAAAATCTTTGCCATCTGAGGTAACACTCATAGGACCTAGGAATTAGGCCATGGGTACATATTTGGGGGCCATTACCTAGCCTATCACACCACCTGCATACAATTTCCACTAAGCTTTTTAGTTTTTCACACTGATATATTGAAATCAAAAGGTTTTTTCCCCACCTTTATTGGATATCTGAATTTCTTAATATGAATTCTCTACTCCTGGCCTTTTTATCTGTTATACTCTTTCATTGATGTTTTTCCTACAGATTGTTAAGGGAGTTTTATAGATAAAGCCATTCACCCTTTATCTACCTTTTTTTTTTCTTTCCTGTTTTTTTTTTTTTTTTGTGATGCTTGGGCCTACGCTGTACCACTGAGTCACTCCACCTGCTATCTGCCAAGTGAAAATACATTTCCTAATTTGCATCCGCCTATTTACTTTGCTTACAGTTTGTTTCCTGATATAGAAGAAATTTTAAATGTTCTGAAGTCAAATGTGATATTTACTTTCCTTTGAAATTTCTTTCATTGCTACTATCTCAGAAAGTCTGACTTACCCTTAGATATATATTCACATATTTTCTCCTGGTTTATGATTTTCAAAAGTATCTGATTCTTTAATCAGTATGAAGCTTATCTTAATATATGGTATGAAAAATATAACTTATTTTTTTCTACTTAATCAGTTTTTCAAAATATTTTTTTAGTTGTAGATGGACACCATATCTTTATTTTATTTATTTATTTTTTTAATGTGATGCTGATGATCAAACCTAGTGCCTCACATGTGCTAGGCAAGAGCTTTACCACTGAGCTTAATCAGTTTTTTAGCATAAAACATTTTTCCCTTTTTCTACTGACTTGTCATATCAACCAAGCATAAAAATCTTGAATATTCTAGGGTTTGTTTTTGAGCTCTGTTCAGTTACCTCAATTTCTTTGTGAAATGTTTACTTTCTGGTCTTTTTGGATCCCAAGTTTGTAATATAACTATAGTCCATCAAACTACCTTAAAATAATGTTTTATTTTTCACTTTCAGATTGCTTATATCACTATTCATTTTTTGATATCCTATTGATTAATTCCTTATCTTAAAAAATCTCATTTTTATCATAACTCATGTACTTGCATTTGGAAATTTTTTTTTGGGGGGGAGGGACCAGGGACGCTTAATCTCCGAGCCACATCCTTATCCCCTTTTTTATATATTATTAGAGACAGGGTCTTGCTGAGTTGTTTAGAGCCTCACTAAGTTGCTGAGGCTGGCTTTGAACTTGCCATCCTCCTGCCTCAGCTTCCCAAGCTGCTGGGATTACAAGTGTGCGCCACCTCACCCAGCTTGGAAATATTTTAAAACAGAAAGGTTATTTCATATTTTCAAAGAAAAGAGACTAGATATTCTTCCTCTCTTTTGTTAATACAATGATGAACTGAACAGCTCTGATGGTTTTTTAATTACTTAAGTCAACAAAACACATAGGCAGTCACTTTCTGGGAGCTAGGAATAC